GCCTTGAGTAACTGAGGTTGATTTCAACTCCGTAATTACATCTACCTACATAAACTTAATAACTAAGGTAAGGTAGGTACGGAGTAAGGGAATGAAAATATCCCATAATGCCCCACCTTTCTTTGTGCTGATCATACCTATGTCCACCCAATCTTGAGTCCATACCTACATAATAGAGAGTACATATCATCGTATGGTATGTACACGTACCAGCGGCGGTCATGGCACGGGCCGCTGTTGGCCAAAGTGAAGTTTCCGGCTGCCCCATCTCAAGGTTGGTAGGTAGGTAGTACTGTATATACGATAAGGTAGTAGGCAATGAATGATCTCAACAATCAAGGTAGCTAGAAGGACTAAGCTATCAGCTTGGAAGATATATCACATTGTTCATAAAAACTAAAACTCCTGGTCAATTCATGATACATAACGATTGCCCCTCATCTCGGTCCCTATCAAGCTTTATTAGCGTTCTGAATACTGTTGGCTTGCTTGTCTCATGGTTATTGGTGTCAAGGTCGTCTGTTGCGTTACAAGCGCGCCCATTTGCCACGCACCACCATTCCTCATCTAGCGGCCATCGACGTCTGGATCTTTCATGATGCCAGATCCCTTGAGAAACTCCTTGGAAACCTCATAAAATGATCCTGTCTAGGAAATGCAGAAGGAACGCTTTGATCAGTTGTGGCTTTCCTATGCAGATGATGAGACCGAAAGACTCCGTCTGCTTGGCCTATATCATGTGTCCTATACCAATCTCCGAAGCCCCCCAGTCGCACAAGTTTACTGTATGATGATGATGGCCACGGATGCCAAGAACATGTCCTCAGACTATCGATACAAAGTTTCCGCTATCCGTGGCGCAAAATAGCCGCCGATGCTTGCTCAGAGCCCAGGCCCATCCCAAATGACACTCCTAACAACCTCATCTGACTGTTCGGGTCTTTGCTACCCAACACTGTCGATTATCAAGTCGCAGTACATAATAGTTGCGGTGCTTAACTTGATTACAATATCAACGCCATGTCATGTCTCCAGTAAAACCTCGTCTCATGATTGATTGAACCTTGTCCAACCTCACAGTTGAAGATTGGAGATTATCATCCTTTTTCTTCAGCAACCAAAGTCTGCCATTGCAACCCAATCTCAACTTCTCCAGTTTTGCATTCAGGATCAAAATAAAATGTTGCAGTCTCTAGAATAAGCCAAATGAGCCAAGGGAGAATTCGTATACTCAGCCAACAGTGGCCTTGTCAAAGACACCAGTTGTTTCACAACTTCAAGACACTCAACTCATTACTGAGCCCTTCAACTTAGCGCCAGTGTTTTGTCTCGTGACTCGTAGACTCAACCTGACGAATTCCAACTTCTGCCTTGACATTCACCATTTTGATAAATCTTCAGCCACTACGGCATCTATATTACATTTCTTCTAACCTTTTCTACTCTATCGTTGAGCAACCTCAACCTCCTGGCCCTCAAACTTGGGGAGCTCATTCTCAATCTGAGACCAGGTCTTACTGCCATTCACAAGTGACTTGATTGCATCAATGATCTTCCCCTGCTCCGCTCGGACTTGGCTGGTGCTGTCACGATCTCGCAAGGTAACAGTGCCGTCTTGAACTGTCTGGAAATCGATGGTAATGCCGAGAGGAGTGCCGAGCTCATCGTTTCGGCTGTATCGCTTACCAATGCTGGCAGAAGAGTCGTCCACGCGGCTGGAGATACCAGCACTGCGGAGACGTTGGGACAGCTGCTTGAGGAGAGGCTTGAACTGGGTATTGGAGGAGAGGGGAACAAGCAAAACCTTGGTAGGGGCCACAGTGGGAGGGAAAGATAGAACCTTTGAAGTGTTAGTATTTCATCATGCATATTCAGGGGGTTTGTTCTTACACCACGGGCTTCGTCGCCGCCCTCGGTGCCACGAGTCCAGAAGCTGTGCTCCATCAAAGAATAGAGAATACGGCCAATACCGAACGAGGGCTCGATAACATTGGGCACAAACTCGCGCGTGTTCTCGACCCTCTTGCGGAACTCGATGGCAATGGAGTCCTTGTTAACCTGGACCTTGCCGTCGCCAACACCAGCGACTTCGAGAGTGATGCTGCCGTTGTCGCTCAAATCCTTGGCCAGCTTTTCTCGCTGTTCTTGTGATGTAGCCAAGAGAGCACTTTCGACAGTCTTGGCATCCTTCTTGAACTGGGGGCCAAACTTCTTCCTCTCGATGTCGATTTGCCATTCCTCAATAACAAGAGGAGTCTCGCGCTGCTCGCGGACAACCAGAGGGGCGCCGGTCTTCTTGGCGTGAACACTCAAGTCGTAGGCACTTCGGTCAGCACAGCCGACACACTCAATCCAACCGGAGCTGGTGAAGAGTTCAGCATCCCAGCAGTCGGTGGCATAATGAGCCATCTCGTTGGCCATGTGCTGGCGGAACCGCAGCTTGGTCAGATCCACACCAATCTTTTCCAAAAACAAGTGAATTCGGGCAAGAAAGTAGCCCAGAGTCTCGTTGTCAACAAGACCATCCTTGACAGCCTGACCGATCTTGAGAGTTCTGGTCGTAGTCTTGCCACTCAGCTGCGTATCACGGTCAAGGAGGACAAGCTCAACATCTTCAACCTCATGGAATCGGTGGTGCTTCTTTCCACCCTCAGGATCGACGAAATGCTCAATCTCAGCCATAAGGAACTCACGCACTCGTAGAAGGCCGGCACGAGGGGAGATCTCGTTACGGTAGGACTTGCCAATAGACGCAGAGGCGAAAGGCATCTGAGATTGGTTGAACTCGAGGAGCTTGGCAAAGTTCAGGAACTGGCCCTGGGCAGTCTCGGGGCGGAGGTAACCAGGGTAGTTGCTGCTGGGACCAATGGAGGTTTGGAACATGAGGTTGAAGGAGACAGGCTCCGCGGGCTGAACACCAGTGGCGGGGTTTCTGAGGTCGTACTTCTTGATGAGCTCGCCAAGCTCTGGGCCACCGTAGTTGTCGATTCTGGCGAGAACCTCCTCGTACTCCTTGACGACAGCGTCGTCGAGTTTCACAGCTTCAGTCTTTGTCTTTTTCTTCTTCTTCTTGGGATCCTCCTCCTTATCCTCCACCTTCTGGCCACGGGCCTCCTTATCGCCGTTTAGCCGGGCCTCGAGAATGGCTTCGACAAAGTGGTCGGCTCGAAGAATCTCGCCGTTCTTGGGGTCCTTGCACATCCAGTCGGCGAACTTGTCAACATGGCCACTGGTCTTGAGGACCTCGTGAGGGGTCAGAACAGTGCAGTCAACCTCGAGCATATCCTCCTCGAGGATGAAATGCTTGCGCCAGATATCAATGACACCGGCCTGCAGTGCGCAGCCAGGAGGGCCATAGTCGAACAAACCACCAACACCGCCGTAGATTTCGAAGGACGGGGTGTAAAACATGCGGCGTCGGAGGATGGATTCGAGGACAGCCTTGTCGAGGGGCTGGCCCTTGAGAGTCGTCGCGGCGGAAGTCATCTTATCCTTTTTGCGCTTCTGCGACGTTTGCAGTTGAAAGGCGTTGAGGGGTCGTGAGGTCGCAAAAGTGCGGGAGTCTACGACAGTGCGGGGTGGTTTTGCACAGGCCGCAAACCGGAACCGGGAACCAGAACGTGACAGATAAAGTTGCCTTGATAGAGGGAAAGCTGTGGAAAAGCTTTTCTTTACTGTCGTTGGCAGTGAGGCTGGAGATAGTGATACGGGACGAATTGGCTTCATCCACCCTGATTGTGAAAGTCGTCAGGTAAAGAGACAGAGGAGGGCGTGAGTCACAAAAGACGACTCTGTAGGTGGCCTAAAATGGCTGCTATTAGGTCAGACCAGAGACTCGTCTCGCTGTTCGGTACCTACAGTGGAGGTAATGGATGGACAGGTAGCTGTGGGTGGTGGGGGAATTTTGTGAGTTTCTCTGGCATCTGCTGGGCGCTGATTCGACAATTTGGTGGTTAGAGACCCTAAAGAGGGAGTTCTGCTATCGTGGGTGTAACAGGCATGTACTAAAACCTGCAGCAGTTTTGGGAGGATATGGAAGTCTGGCTGGTATCGTCGGGTGTTATTTGACCCCCACCACATCCACGTACTATACCATTTCTACCATTCACGGAGTAAACTAAGGTCGGGTACCATTCTAAGGCACTGTTTGTCACAATGCACGTGCCGGGACACGGCTTGATCATGAGAATCATGACATTGGATGAATTTTGCGTTAAAAGTCTTTTTTTTTTTTTAATGAAATTGATTAAAACGATCAATTGCCTTAGTACTGGGTGAAGCGACTGACTGGCTCTGATAAGAATACCATTCATGGTAACAAGCTGTGCTGCTTGTTGAGTGTGTGGTGATATGCCCCTTAGTGCATAAGTCGTCTGAATCTCTCAAGACGAACTCACAGATATCTCCTTACGATATACGCCGATTTTCTTCACATTCATCATCTCTCTCTCTCTAAAAGAAAAAAAAAAACTGAGAGGGAGAAAGAGATAGAGGAAAAAAAGAGTCTGCCTAACTAAAATTTCGTCCCCATGTTATCTGAATGAAGGCGAAGTTAGCACTGACTCAATCTTTACATACCTCCATACCTACTAGGTAGGTAGTACCTAGGTAGATATATTGGCCCCCTCAAACTTGCCAGCTCAGCCGTTGCATTGACGACGAGCGAGTCAACGGCTGAAGAAACCAGCCCGGTCAACGTCTTGTCTCAATGCATTTTAGTAAATGCATGATATGAATATTTCACAAGGTAAAATAGGCAATTGTGTACGGAGTAACAACCCTCAGCTTCTGTGGTGGTCCGATCTCAAGCTCGCCCCAGATTTCTAGCCGCCCCTGGCATCAGTTGCTCGGCAACCATATGTTTATACTAACCCCAGCCAGCGAGCGACCTGACTGACCGCACCGAAACCGTTCAAAAAGGCAAACCGCGATCGTCCTTCATCATCTCTCCGTTCGTCTTTCACTAACATCAACAGCCCATCCCGCCCTTGCTCTCAATAATGGCTACCCGTACAATTGAGGCGCGCTTCGAGCGCATGTCCGTCAACGATGAGAATGATCCCCTTGGCGACGGCTCCAAGCTCTACAGCAAGACAAAGGTATGCGTGTGTGTTTGCTGTGACCGCTCCATGATGGCTTGATCACTGACATAGGTAGACTATGGTCTCATCTACCACATCACAAAGTCTACATGGAGCCTCTCGGCCCAACCTCTTCAAAGTCGCCCTCCAGTCGCAAAGCAGCAACACCAACGCTGCTGTGATGCTGCCATCCCAGGCTGCTCAACGAAAAGTCAACAACGCGCCTCCATCCCCTACAAGAAAAGCACTTCCATCTTCTTCAAGGACGTCGGATGAAGCTCAAGATGAACGAAAATCAGTCACACTGCCAGAGCAAATCGGCGTCCCGAAGCAGTTCCACCTCGGCATGTTCGAGATTGGCCGACCTCTGGGCAAGGGCAAATTTGGACGAGTGTACCTTGCTCGAGAGAGAACAACGGGCTTCATCTGCGCCCTCAAGGTCCTCCACAAGAATGAATTGCAAGCAGGTCGTGTTGAGAAGCAGGTTCGCCGAGAGATCGAGATTCAAAGCAACCTGAGACACCCCAACATCCTTCAGCTCTACGGCCACTTCCACGATAGCAAGCGAGTATTCTTGATTCTTGAATTCGCTGGCAAGGGTGAACTATACAAGCACCTCCGAAAAGAGAGCCGGTTCCCCGAGTGGAAGGCAGCCCAGTACATCGCCCAGATGGCATCGGCATTGCGCTATCTGCATCGAAAGCATGTCATCCACCGGGATATCAAGCCTGAGAACATTTTGGTTGGTATCCATGGTGAGATCAAAATCTCGGATTTCGGATGGAGTGTGCACGCTCCTAATAACCGAAGGAAGACCATGTGTGGTACTCTTGACTACCTCCCTCCTGAGATGATCAAGCCAGGCACCTCTGACAACTTTTACAACGAGAAGGTCGACCTGTGGAGTTTGGGCGTTCTGACGTATGAGTTCCTCGTGGGTGAAGCGCCCTTCGAGGATACGCCAGTGATGACTCAACGAAGGATTGCTCGTGCTGACATGTCGATTCCTTCATGGGTCAGTCCTGAGGCTACTGACCTCATCAAGAAGGTATGTAGCCAGCCCCAAAGATTTCTGTATCGCCATACTGACATGGATGAAGCTCTTGGTGTTGGATCCTGAGAAGCGAATTCCTCTAGAGCAGATTCAGCAACACCCCTGGATCATCAAGCACTGCGTCAAGGGTGAGCGTGCTTCTAACCGCGAGAAGGTGCAATAATGATATAACGACAAATAGCATGAATGGATAACGGTTGAAAGGCGTTCATCGGCAGTTGATTGACTGACTTTCTAATAATCAAGGACGGAACCTGGCCGTTTGCATCAGTTGGAGTACGGGATTTTCTTTTGTGGCGTCATTCCAACAATCATTAAAACGAATACAAGAATTTGCTCCAGCGTGTTGGAAGGGTATCATTGAGAGTATTGTGGTACGCAGCAGAAAGGCATCATACATTTCATTATAGGCGCCTCTCGCCCGTCTTAGATATCGTACACATTTCCATCTGCAGGGCAGACTGCTAGCAATTATCGATAAACCTCGTCGAATGGCCTCGTGTCGGCAAAGCAAGAGTCCCAAACCTGGTTGACAACGTTGGTTGCTTGGACGTCGTCCTTGCACGTGGATCTGGCCGTGACAGAATCAATGGCTCGTCTGCGGACGCAATTTTGGAATTGCTGCGTCAGTCTCCAATTCCCTCGAACAAAAGCCTCTTTTGTCCATCTGCACTCGCCACTGAGCATTGAAGCTCGGATCTTGACATGAGTTAGCATACTTGTTTGTAAGGAAATTAATCGGCTTGCTTCCTTAACCCACCTCTGTGCATGCGGCGTGCTTCAAGTCCTTTTGGCCCATAAAGTCGACATTCTTCCACCGAACGTAGTCCCAGGCATGCACCATCTCATGCGCAAGCGTATCCTCGAGATGCTTTCGGTTCTTGATGTGGTTGGCACATATGAGGATGCCATGATTGGGGCTGAAACCACCAGATTGCCAGTTGACAGAGCCATCAGCCCTCAGAGAGGAGGGACAGCGACGGCAGTGAACATTGGAAGGGTCTATTCGTCCATTGAGGGCTTGAATCTTGTCGGACATGAAGCGAACGACGGGTGAATAGGTAAAGAGCCAGTCGCGGTCTCTCTCACAAGCTTTGCAGTCTTTTTCTTCCTCGATTTCCGTTGTGTACTCTCGGAAGAAGAATTTGCCCTCGGGTGTCATTTGGCCCGAGAGCATCTTGAAGTAGTTCATCCACCATGAGATCTCTGGAGAAAACCCTGTTTTTGCAGGGTCGTTCTTGATTTCTGCATTTGAAGCACTTGGCGTTCCAGCGGGGACACCTGGGGGAGGTGTAGAGTCAGATGACATTCTGAAAAGGCGCGTGTGTGTAATCTCCTATGCCAACTGAGTCCGAATTAGTATGCTGTGGCTTCGGCGAGTGAATTCGGCATTCGGCGTAAGACTCAGAATCTCAAGGTGATCGATCTCTCTTGACCTGGGCTTCTTCTCACAAGGCAGTGGAGGCTTTAGTTTAGCTGGCCTGGCCTTAGCTTTACTTTAGGTTACCTTACTCCAGGAGCCTCCCTCCACTGAGTGCAAATTCTGCCACGGACCCGGACAGCCCGATTCGGCCAGGCGGTGAAGAGGCTGATTGGATCAGTTTTCCGAACAAATGACCCTATTCGTGATGCTTTCCCGGGCGACATCGGGGTCTGGGGAACTCTTCAACAAGGGCGCAGGAGCACAGTCCAATCAATTCGACTCTCGCCCAACGTTTGCCCAGCTCCAGCTCCAAACATCCTGACACTCCCACTCACATCCCATCTCATACCATCCCATCCTACCTATCCTGTTCAACCCTCGGTTCCACACTCAGAGAGAGCGACAAGGGCGCATGAGAAAAATGACGAGTGAAAGCATGTTTCAATGTAAGCATTTCTCTCAATCCCTCTTCTCTTTGCTTCATCCATCCGTCCTTCTTTTGATTTGTGTTGTGGAAGGAGAGTCAAGTCTGTCTTGATATATATATATGTACCTATATATATACACTACCTCCCTACCTTATACGCTTCTTCACACGTGCAGTGTGTAGAGACACCCATGTGAAACTGCCAGTGTTTCTTACAGGCGTTGCATCATACCCCCAAAAGCGGCATTAAACTGACTTGTTTTCCTTTTTCTTAAACCTCGTAGTCATGAGAGGCAACGGGACAAAGTCTCTGACCATCGTCATCAAGCTTGGTGAGTTTACTTTACGGCTCAACACCAAGCTTGACTCATCCCCCACTAACACTCGGCCTTCATCACAGGAACAAGCTCCATTGTCGATGAGAAGACTCACGAACCACTTCTTCCGATTCTGACTCTCATTGTTGATACGGCTGTGAAGCTTCGCAAAGATGGTCACAGGGTGGTCATTGTTTCGTCCGGCGCTATCGGTGTTGGTCTCCGGCGTATGGACGTCGAGAAGCGACCTAAGCATCTCGCACAGCTACAGGTTGGAACCGAATGTCTCTATTGACCATCTGTAATCAAGTGACTAACGTCAACGTCTACAGGCTCTTGCAGCGATCGGCCAATGCCGCCTCATGAGTCTGTGGGATAGTCTGTTCACCCACCTCAGGCAGCCAATTGCTCAGATCCTCCTTACACGAAACGATATTGCAGACGTGTGTCCAACTCTTCTGTCTTGAATCTTCAGCGGTGAACTAAAAAAAATATGTGTCGCAGCGAACGAGATACTTTAACGCCCAAAACACCTTCCATGCCCTTTTGGAACAAGGTGTAATCCCCATTGTTAACGAAAACGACACTCTTGCCGTTTCCGAAATCAAGTTTGGCGACAATGATACTCTCTCCGCCATCACTGCCGCTATGATACACGCTGATATGCTGTTCTTGATGACGGACGTTGACTGTCTCTATGACAAGAACCCCAGAACCAACCCGGATGCTAAGCCTATCGAGGTGGTCGAAGACATCGCTGCACTACAGGCTGACGGTAAATTTCATCTTCAGGCGCGGGCTTGTCTCACCGGAAACTAACTCTCGAGCAGTATCCAGTGCTGGTTCGTCCCTTGGGACAGGAGGCATGAGCACCAAGATTATTGCTGCTAGGCTGGGCACTTCCGCTGGAGTCACGACTGTCATTACGAGGTCTTCTAACCCGGGAAACGTGCTCAACATTGTGCAGTATCTACAGTCAATACAAAAAGGGAACACTCCCCCCAGTCCCGACGAGCGTGCTGAAGGCTTGTCACGATCGGCATCAGCTCTGACGCTCTCCAACTTAAATGGCGCCCCTTGGCCCCCCTTACACACTCGCTTCATCCCCGCCAACGATCCCATCAGGGACCGTCATTTTTGGCTGCTTCACACTCCTCATCCCCACGGCACCCTCTACATCGACTCAGGCGCTTACAAGGCTCTTGTTGGCAAGGCGGGTCTGCTTCCGGTTGGCGTCATTGATGTCGAGGGTAACTTTGCCCAACAGGAGGTGGTGCGTCTCGTGGCAGTCAAGCGGCGATCAACCCCTGGGCCTGATGGCAAAATGTGGGAGGGCACTCCTGAAGAAGTCGGCCGAGCTCTGGTCAACTATGCCGCCGCTGAGATCGCGCGGATCAAGGGCAAGCAGAGCGTTGAGATTGAGAAGATCCTTGGCTATGCTGATAGTGAGTATGTCGCTCACAGACAGCATGTCGGTTTCTTTAAGAGAGACAGCAGGCCAGTGAGTCCAGCTCGAGAGATAAACGGTGCAGTAATGGAATAGGCAGGCAAAGAGATGGCTTCGAAAATGGACAAAATGGGGTAAGCGAATACATTTCAACATATACAGCGCTTTTTGATGGCGATGACGATGACGATGATGATATCTACCAATCTACCAAATAACACAAGCATGGTTGACTTGGCCACAAGTTTCTTTTCCGCCCTCACTCTCAACGCCAAAGAATGAATGATTAATATAGCCCCAACGCCAGACGAAGCAAACCATACTGCCCTCTACCCCGTCGCAAACAAGTTGTCTTCGTCACGGAGGTACTCTCCACAGTCGGCCTGTCTGAAACAAGTGACACCGGTGGGATCCAATCTTCGGGCCTCGGCAGTGCTGCGGGCAGTGACACCAAATCCGAGCGGTGTATCGTTCATGCTGTAGACAACAACTCCTTGGTGTTCGGGGCAGTCCTCTGACCAACGACCGACATGCGCCTTGACGATGTTGCTGCCGTATAGGAAGGGCATGGTTCCGTTTTCCTTGACCCAAATCTTGTAGCGGGCGTGCTCGGCGATGATGGGAAGGGCTGTGATGTGCAGGCGGAACTTGCCAGACTTCGTGAACTTGCCTGTAAAATTTGAAGGTTAGCTAGAGAATATTGCGACATGTATCAATGCAAAGACGTACCAAGACAAGTTCCTAGAGAGAGAAGCTTATCACGCGCAATAGAGGTAGCCAGGTTGGCGATCGAGAGACGAACGTAAAAGACACGATCGCGGACTAGGCGGAAGACATAGCGATCAGGGTTCGGGGAGTCGTCGAGGGGTGCGATCAGGTTCTTGAGGGAGCCGCCAGTGTAATTTGCCAGTTTCTCGAACAGAGTCTGGGTCTCCTTTTCTGTGAGAGGGCGCATTTTATCGTTAGGATATGGTAATTGATGGTGTTGTTGATGTTGTTCAATGGCGGGATGGCTTGGCTTCGCAAAGGAAAAATAGTTGATGGAGCAGAACTGATAAGGATTCTTATCAGTCGGCGACTGGAGGTGGAGTGGATATCCGTAGACGGGAGGTTTAAATGGATAGGGGGACCCTTGACTTAGGTACCTTAAGGTAGGTAGGCACCTAGGCTGACTTGGCTGTAAGAAAATGGCTGTGAAAATACCTAAACGTCATTGCGGCATTACTCAAATAGCAATAGAAAATTTTGCATTAGCATATATGTAAAGTCTGTATTTTTATAGCTGTCTAGTTGTTAGGATTGTGGTGGTTTCTCTTCACATAGGTACCAGATGTTGGCAGTTCAGGTAGTCCAATTCACAAGAAAGCGACTTACAACCTTACTAACATTACATAGTAGGTTGCTCGACAGCTTGGATAAGGTAGGTCTCAGACGTCTTATATTATAAACATGAAGAATATATACACCAGAATAGAGTATGAAGACTGAAAGTGAAACCCATAGATCTAGTTATAGCCCTGTTAGCTTGTTCATTCTTCGGACAGCGTTCCTCAGACTAAACGTCAGCTGAATCCCTGGAACGATTTATCATTGCAAAGAGAGATTATGACGCCTGGTCAGGCACCCACATAACGCATTCGAGCCAAAGAAAGAAAACGAAGACATGTTGTTTCCATACAACTTAGCACCCCAACACATACTCCGTCAGCCAATATGTCTCGTAGCCTCCCGATTCAGATGCTGGCTAGTATCTTGCCTATACTTGTCGCAAAGGGCTTGCCTAAGAGTCCTGAAATCCTGTTTAGCACAGTAAATCAGTGTATTCATCTCTATCCATCTCCTGGGAGTTTCTGGGAGCTCGAGCTCAGCGATGACCAGTCTCATGAGGTCGGCCTTGACAGTATGAATGATGTCTCTTAGTTCCGAGATGGATTCTTGACCAAGGACAGACAGTCTCAGGCCAGCAAAATCTTGTATAACATCGATCTCCTTGCCCCAGTGGAGACGGTGAGATATCAAGTACTTGATGGCCTGATCTTCAAGGTTATAGAGGTCCATGAGATCCTCTTTAGTCAAAGATCCATAATACGAGGGTTTAATCGTTTATAATGTCTCCCCACATATTCATCTTTGGTCAGCTCCTGGAGGCAATGCTTCTCAAGATAGGCTTTGTGTCTTCAGGAGACCTGGGGTTTGTATTGACTTTGAATGTGTGCCATGTTATGCGCCAAGCGAGGTAACCTTTTTGAAGTTCATCATATCCATATTTCGAGGGTTGCTCAAACACCAGACCCACGATGAGGCCAGGTGGACAGGTTGAGAATACGTTCATAACGTTTTGCAGGCATCCATGCTTTACATGTCGTATTCGACCCTCAGTAATGGCATTGTGTGACAGGCTGTTGGATGTGCCCAGATCAGTGCTATCTGGTCTTTGAGACACATCTTTGACTTTTGTTGTTGGATCTGTTAGATCGCCTATGCTCGCCTGAGATGCGTGCTCATCCAGATACCGTAACATGCAAGGTTTGCAACTGACGCTGTAGCATTCGCGGGTATTTAGACAGTGATTATGGTCTTCGGAAGCCCAAGATCGCAGGCGAGCATCTATAGCATGGACTTCGATTTGTTACATGTGAGCTTTATTGTCTTTCAAGCTCTGGAATCGATTGTGCCTATCGTCGTAGAAGCCGACATCTCTGACAAACGAAACTCACTTGGAGAGGGATCTAGTCCGGAGGAGCTCGGAAGCTCTGTGAGAGAAAGACGAACACGGGCTTCGTGTGATTACAGTGACGGGCCAACGGACGGAAGTGGTCGACGAGGAAAGGAAGAGTGATCTGACGAAGCAAGGCTCCAGTAAACGGTATTGAGAACCATCTTGTCTCCGTGTGCTTCAATCTTATATTGTATAAGTAGTCAGAGAGTGTACCTGGTAACGAATAGAGCTTTGAAGACAGAGTGCACAGGTAAACGGCGGGCGAAGGATGTAGCGACGAGGGGGGGTGAACCGGTCTCTTGGCGTGTAAGTCTATCAGTGGCGGGATAGTTCTCGACCCGAACCTCAACTCGCCTGTTGCAACCTCTCTTATAGTCCAGTGCAGAAAAGAAAATACTGATTGTGTTCTTTTCGATCATGTATGTGTGTGAAACAGTTGGTCTCAGACTTGGTGCACTATCGAGTGTCGATATGGGCGTCCTGTAGAGCTGTAGAATGCATTTCATAAAGGCAACCACAGAAGCAATTGAAAGTGGTCCTGGGTTCTGTAAAGCTATGGTTGTCATAGATTTCATATGAAGGAGGCGATTCTCGCTGGTTGTCTGATGAGTGATGCTCACGAACGATCACTGGTTGCAAAGGACAGCAGACTGCTTGCCATGGAATGTATCACAGAGTTTGATGTGCGTGTCATGATATAGGTAGGTACATTACCAGGTGTTCTTGGCCAATCTTGAGGCAGTTAGCTACACACAGATGTTTACGTGTGCTGCTTGATAGATCAGCTCTTCCCGTTGTAAATCGTAATCAAGGCAGTGGTGGTGGCATTAGGATTTGGATATCCTTTTTCAGTCTGATGGCAAGCATCTAATCATAGAACTTTCACTTGCTTTATCCAATTCCCATTCACGGTTCACTACCTGAGATTACTGGAAATTGTATCTCTATTTGAGGCTTATATATACTGACAGGGTTGCAGCTGTTCAACATAGAGAACCGTCTAAAAGCCTGCAAAGAGTCGAATCACTGAATAGTGCTCTTTGGGGAGAGCCCTCTCAAGCTCTACGACTCCGTATCCCTTGCGGTCGGTGGGTTTTGCCTGGTTCGTGGCTGTGATTCCTACTTGTTGCAATTGGCTTCATATTAGCAGCATGTCGGCGTGTTGACTGCCGTATCTCCCTAACTCATTTTCATAGGAATCTGCATTGAAGAATTTCCATTTATCAATCCAAGACCAAGACTACTCCTTTGTCCGGTCGGACCGGCGGTTTTCCTGTTGCAGTTTCTCTTAACAACGTGGTGTTCTTTTCCCCACTCCACGCTCTTGAATCATATTTACTTCCACAGCGTGAATCATGTCATATCATTCGTGATGTCTGTGCCAGATTCCCTTACTCCAGACGCACTCATCTTGCGCCAGGCTATCAGACCCCTAATCCAACATAGCCTTAACGACCTGGATCTGCTCCAGCACGGCTGACCGACTAGTACCGCCTTTTGACGATTTCGCCTCGACGCTCGTTTCGTACTCGAATGCCTCCGCAATGCCCGCTGTGAACCGCGGATCAATAGCTTGCAGTTGCTCCAGTGTCAGCTTGTCCATCGAAACCCCAGAGTTTTCAGACAGCGCAACAACACGTCCAGAGATGTGGTGAGCTTCTCTGAACGGACATCCATTCCTCACCAGCCACTCCGCAACATCCGTCGCTAGCATCGTTTTATCTAGAGCAGCCTGCATCCGCTCAGGCCGCACCTTCAGTGTGGAGATAACCCCGTTAGCTATGCCAAGACTATCGGACACAGTCTCAACTGCATCGAGCATAGGTTCCCATCCCTCCTGGGCATCCTTATTGTAGCAATATGGCAGGCCTTTCATAGTCTGCCAAGTGTTAGTAGCTGCTCTCCATACGCTCTTGGTTGCAAACGCGGGGCAATCATATGAAGACTCACCATCATCAACCCAGCCATTTGACCGAAAGAACGCCCTGACTTGCCGCGCAAAAGCTCGCAACTATCGGGGTTATGTTTGTTTGGCATTAGAGAACTACCCGTACTGTATGCGTCGGCCAGTCGGAGGAAAGAGAACTCAGAGGATGAGTAAATAATGAGGTCCTCAGCCCACCTGCTGATGTGGCTGGTGAAAACGCTCGTGAAGATTAGGAAGTCGAGGATAAAATCCCTTTCAGCGCTCGTGTTCATAGAGTTTAAGGTGATTCCGCTAAAGCCGAGCTCCTGAGCTATTGAGTCTCGATCAATTCCAAAGGGGTTGCCAGCCAGAGCGCCGCAGCCAAGTGGACTGAGGTTGACTCTTTCGAAAACTTGGCGGAGTCGCTCGAGATCTTGCTTGAACGAAGCGGCATGCGCCATCAGCCATTGGGCCCACCTGAATTAATAAATAATATGAGTATTTGGGAGTGAAATGGAAGGGCGTGCTGATATACCTGACGGGTTGGGCGCGCTGAAGATGGGTGTATCCTGGCATGATGTAGTCGCTGCGGTTGCCAGTCAGTAAGGCGGTGATTCCGGCCAGAGATGGGGCTGGACTTACATCTCAGACTCGGCGCGCGCGATAATGACCTTGAGAAATGCGACAAGTTGAGTGTCGATTTCGCGGATTCGATCGCGTAGCCACATGCGCATATCGCAGACAACCTGCTCGTTGCGACTGCGCCCCGTGTGCAGCCTACCCGCGATATCCTTGCCGATAACCTCTCCTAGGCGACGTTCATTTGCGGTGTGGATCTGGCCCATTATGTTAGCTTCTAGATATCGAGTAAAATCAAGTAGCGTCTCACGTCTTCGTCGTTCGGCATGATGGTGAAAGTTCCTTGCTTCCATTCCTCCATCACTTGGAGCAAACCACGCTCAATCGCCTGGAAGTCGTCTTGGCTAATAATGCCAGCCTTTGAGTTGGCACGGGCAAAAGCGATAGATCCAAGGATGTCTTCCTTATAAAGAGCCTTGTCGTAGTTGATGGAGGCATTGTACTTATACATGAGAGGATCAATTGCACCTGCAACACCATGTAGTCAGTATACAGCATTTTGAAGCTTGCTTTCCGGGGCATTCGAACCTGTGAACCGGCCTCCCCAGAGCATGTTAGCTGCTGGAGCGTCTGCCTTGTTCCCTGCCATGATGAGATCTTTGCGATTGGTGTTGTTTTCGTTCGTTGCTTTCGTTATCGAGGTCAAGGGTGGGAGTTGTTGTTAAATGTCGAGAAAATTGGTGGGGAGCAG